CCACTTTATGATAAGTTACGAAACAAACAAATAAAAGAACAATGGAGATATTTCTGCAGAATTTCTATTCTGCCCACAAACTGTGGAAACTTTATTAATTCACTTTGCAACTGCAAAATACTGTGAATGAGTTCAATGACTTGAATTACAAAATAAGGGTTACTCCCTCTTATTTATAGATTTAGGTTAGCTTGCTCCCTAAGCTAAACCCAAGCCCAAAATATCTCTTTACTAAATCAAATCTAATCTAGATTTAAATTCAAATCTATTTAAATCTAAACAAATCAAATCTTCTTTTGACACCTATGAATTACAATTTAACACACCACCTAATTCATTGTGTCTAAACTGTCTATGTTCATCATGGCCCTTAGCTTTCTGAATACTTCGACTTGCACTCCCTTCGTCATGATGTCTGCAATCTGATTCTCAGTTCTGCAGTGTTCCAAATTCATCTTCCCATCTGCTACCTGCTCTCGAAGATAATGGAACCTCATTTCGATGTGCTTACTTCGACCATGTGCTATTGGGTTCTTCGCCAGGTTGATAGCTGACATGTTGTCTATCTTCATGGTAATTGCTCCATGATTTTTCCCTGTTATCTCTTCGACCAAGTTCACCATCCAGGTTGCTTGGCATGCACAAAGAGAAGCAGCTATGTATTCTGCTTCGCATGATGATAATGCTACTACTGGTTCTTTTCTCGAACTCCAAGCAATTGTTGCACCACCTAGCATAAACACATATCCTGCTGTTGACTTTCGATCTTCAGCATCACTACACCAACTCGAATCAGTGTATCCCACTAACTTGCATTCTTTTCCTTTATCAACTGCAGGAAACAGAATGCCATAATCGAAAGTTCCTTTGAGATACCTTAGTATCCTCTTCACAGCTGCTAGATGTGATACCTTTGGCTTCTGGATGAATCTACTTACCATACCTACACTGTATGCTAAGTCAGGCCTTGTATGACAAAGGTATCTCAATGATCCAATAAGTCTTCTGTATTGGGTTGGATCAACATCATCTTCATCTGCATCTTTCGACAGTTGCAGTCTTGGTTCTGCAGGTGTCGAAGTTGAGTTGCATTCTTCCATCTCAAACCTCTTGAGAATTTCTCCTGCATATCTTCTTTGATGCATCATCAAACCTCTACTGCTTTTGTAGAATTCGATACCAAGGAAATATGAAATCTCACCCAAATCAGACATTTCGAATTCCTTGCTAAGATCAACTTTGAAGTCTTCGATCTCACTCTTGCAGCTACCTGTTATCAACAAATCATCTACATAGAGACATAGTATAAGCAATTTACTCTTGCTTCTTCTTACATATACTCCATGTTCAGTTATGCACTTCACAAATTCCTTCTTCCTTAGAAAACTATCAATTTTCTTATTCCAAGCCCTTGGAGCTTGTTTCAAACCATACAGGGCTTTATGTAGCCTGTACACCTTTCTTTCTTCGTCATGTTTCACAAACCCAACTGGTTGTTTAACATAGACTTCTTCATCTAAGGGTCCATTTAGGAATGCACACTTCACGTCCATCTGACATATGTGCCAACTGTTGATTTCTGCTAGACCAACAACCAACCTGATTGTTTCGATCCTAGCAACAGGTGCAAAAACTTCGTCGAAGTCTATTCCTTCTTTCTGTAGAAATCCTTTCGCCACAAGTCTTGCTTTGTGTTGAGTTATTTCTCCTTTCGAATTCGTCTTCACTTTGTATACCCACTTGACATCAATTGCCTTCTTGCCTTGAGGCAATTCGACAAGTGACCAAGTGTTGTTGTCTTCGATAGACTTTACTTCTTCGTTCATTGCTTTCACCCACTTCGAATCCTTTAAGGCTTCAGCTGCATTAACAGGTTCGACATCTGCATAGAAAGCATAATGTACCAGCTCACCTTCATCATCTATTACATCATCTGATGTAATCACACAATCTTGCAATCTTGCAGGCATGCGTCTTGTTCTTTGAGGTCTGCTTGTACTGGGTATATCTTTTGGCTCCTCTTGTCGAACTTTTCTTTCGACTTGAGTTTCTGGCTCTTCGAATAAGATTCCCACTGAATCTTTCTTGACATTTGCAGTCCAATCCCATTCTTTGAACTCATCTATGATCACGTCCCTGCTGATCACAATCTTCTTGTTCTCTGGATCGAACAACTTGTAGCCTCCTGTCGAATGATATCCAACTAGGATCATTTGACTTGACTTGTCATCAAGTTTCTTTCTCAACTGATCTGGCACATGTCTATGTGCAATAGATCCAAATATTTTCAGATGACTTAAGCTAGGCTTCACACCAGACCAACATTCTTCTGGAGTAATTCCTTCTAGCTTCTTTGTAGGACTTCTGTTCAAAATGTATGTTGCAGTCGAAACAGCTTCACCCCAGAATTCTTTGGGTAAATTCTTGCCTTTCAACATACTTCTCACCATATTCATGATGGTTCGATTTTTCCTTTCTGCAATTCCATTTTGTTGTGGAGTATAGGGTGGCACCACCTCATGCACAATCCCTTCTTTTTCACATAATCTGTCGAAGTCTTTCGACACATATTCTCCTCCACCATCAGTTCTCAAAACTTTGAGTTTTCGTCCACTTTGTCTTTTGACCATAGACTTAAACTTGGTGAATACTTCGAACACTTCACTTTTCTGCTTGATCAGGTAAGTCCATAGCTTTCGACTGAAATCATCTATGAATGTAACAAAGTATTTGTTACCTCCCATCGAATCCACCTGAATTGGTCCACATACATCAGAGTATATGACTTCGAGACTAGCCTTCGATCTGCTTCCTGCATCCTTGCTGAAGCTGTTCTTGTGTTGCTTCGCCTGTACACATTCTTCACATACTTCGTTTGGAATGTCAATTTCAGGCAATCCTGAAACCATATTTCTTCTCTTCAAATCTCTGATGTCTCTGAAGTTGATATGACCAAGTCTATAATGACATATCCATTCATCTCTGCTAGCTGCAGTCGAAAGGCACTTGTGCTCCATCACATTTAGTTCAATCTTGAAGGTTCGATTCTGAGACATAGGAGCCTTCAAGATTACTCTCCCATTTGCATCAACAACTCTCATCAACTTATCTTCGATTGATACTTTATAATTCTTTTCGACCAACTGCCCTATACTGAGCAAATTGCTCTTCATGCCTGGTATGTACAATACATTCGAAATTACTGACTTCTTGCCATCTTTCCTCATGATCATAACATCACCAATACCTTCAGCTGCTAGGGTGTTGTCATTCGCAAATTTTACCAAATTTTTCGTTGAGGGTTTTATGTTGACGAACCAGTCTTTCCTTCCAGACATATGTGATGAACATCCTGAATCCAAGTACCATTGGTCCTTGAATCTATCTTCATCTCTTGTTGTGACCATCAGCATCATCTCTTCTTCTTCTTCATGTTTTGCCAGCTTTGCATCACTTTCTTGATTCTTTCGTTTTTCTGGACAATCACTCGAATAGTGACCATACTTCTGACAATTATAACATTGAATGTGACTCTTATCAGGTTTTCGACCACCACCTCTTCCTCTGTTTGCAGCACCACCTCTTTGGTATCCTTGGTGTGGTCTTCTTTGATTCGACACGTCTCCTTCGATTTGGTTTCCTCTGCCATTCGATTTGTTGTAGCCACCTCTACTTCTGTCGACTTTCCTTTGCCTTTGGTCTCTTTTGCTGAATGTGCCTGCAAGGCCACATCACTCTTCGATTTTCCTGCAGCTCTTTCGTTCATTCTTTGTTCACGAGATTCGAGCGTCCCTTGAAGCTCTTCCTTTGTCAATTTCGACAAGTCTTTCCCTTCTTCTATCGCCACCACTATGTGGTCGAACTTAGGGGCTAAGGATCTCAGGATCTTCGAAACAACAGCTCTTGTTGTTAATGTTTCTCCACATGTCTTGATTTGATTCACTAGTTTTGTAACTCTAGTGAAGAAATCAGATATGTTTTCACTGTCTTCCATCTGAAGCAGTTCATAGGTCCTTTTGTGAGTTTGTAACCTCACTTCTTTCACCTTCTCAGCGCCTCCAAAAGACTTCTCCAGGATCTCCCAAGCTTCTTTTGCAGATTCTGAATCACCAATCTTCTCGAAATTGTCTGGACTGACACATTGATGAATTATAAACAATGCTTTATAACTCTGTTTCTCAGATTCTGTATATTTCTTCTTTTCTTCTTCTGAAGCGTTTTCGCCAAGCGCTTCGACTCCATCTTTTACAAGGTCCCAAAGGCCTTGACACCTTAATAGGACTTTCATCTGCTTGCACCAATTCTCATAGTTGTCAACTTTTAGAACTGGCAGCGTTGCTGGATAGTTTGCATTCCCATAACTTGTCATCGTGAATTCTTCAATCGTTCTTGATTGATACTTCCCTTGAATCGTAACACAAGCTCTTGATACCAGATGTTGGAAATCCACCAATACACTATGATGAATTTCGACCACCACTTTATGATAAGTTATGAAACAAACAAATAAAAGAACAATGGAGATATTTCTGCAGAATTTCTATTCTGCCCACAAACTGTGGAAACTTTATTAATTCACTTTGCAACTGCAAAACACTGTGAATGAGTTCAATGACTTGAATTACAAAATAAGGGTTACTCCCTCTTATTTATAGATTTAGGTTAGCTTGCTCCCTAAGCTAAACCCAAGCCCAAAATATCTCTTTACTAAATCAAATCTAATCTAGATTTAAATTCAAATCTATTTAAATCTAAACAAATCAAATCTTCTTTTGACACCTATGAATTACAATTTAACACAGATGTCAACAATAAACAAGAATCAAGGAGTTTGTTTTTGGATTTAACTACTCGACTTCGGGCTTCTTCGTAGCTGCCATAATCTTTCCCAAAAAGGCCTCCTCTAATGGCAAGTCTAGTTAAACTTTCAGTATGAATATCTTCATCAATATTTTAATTCGCCCCTTCATTTTTGCCAGCAATTTTCCTCTACTATATCTCTATAAGCAATCAGGACAAAATTCAAAAAAACATTTTTTTTTTTTTGTATCTTCTTGAATGAGCTGATCAACTTCATCTTTCCAAGCAAGAGCATCAGGTTGAACATTTTCTCCTCTTCTTGTTGCCTCTTCAATGTGTCGCTCCAAAGTTTCCCTTTCTACTTCCAATCTAGATTGTTCTTCTTGGAAATCCTTAACAATGCATGTGAAGCAGCAAATATAACTTAATTCTGCAATCGCCCCATTTATCAATTTCTCCACAAATGGCTTTGCCAAGTCAGTCAAGAAACTTGTCATCTAAATAAATTTCAATAGATCAAAGTTAGAAATATATGCATGTGTTTACTGTGTGTTGGAAAATACAATGGTTGATAATAAATTTTGTTTTGTCAACTAATCATTCTTGTAATTTTTATGTAGATAGAATTTTTAGAGTCATGTTATTTGAAAAACTCAACTTCATGAGACACTTTTCTTCCAAGGTTTGTTTTATAGTTTTTCTAATAGATACTAGATTTAAACCCATGCAATGCAGAAATGTTAATTAATTTTTATTTATTTTGTATCGAATTTTAATTAAGTTAAGAACTTTTATTTAGTAAATATGAGCAACACATTTATATTATAATAATTTATTATAAATTTTAAGTGAGACAATAATATGAATTAAACACAAATAAAAACGGTATGTTTTATATTGCAAATTTAAATAATTTTAAAAGATATCACTAACAATTTATTTTTTATTGTGATTCTAATGTATATTTTATATTTGTCTCTTTTAGATATTTAATTATAAGTTGTTAAAGATATACATTTATTTTTATTCTTAAATAAAAATTAAACTTTATTCTCAATTATTATCGAATAAAACATCCAACAGTTTTACAAATTTATATCTACAACGTCAAATTTTAGTTATATGCGAGAAATTAAGAATTTTGTTGTTTGTATTTAATTTACTTGTTTGATATGATAAGAAATATATAGATTTGGTAAAGAGTGTTGCTTTCTCTATTAAATTTCTAGATCAATTGAGAGTAATTTAACACTAAAAAATTATAGAATATATACTTTAACATTAAAAGTATTTTTCAAGTGTTTCTTTTGTTTTTGAAATTTTGAAATTGTGCGGGCATCTCTTTTATTTTTGAAATTTTGAAAAATATATTTAGTTGGAGTAATTGTAAAGGATTGAACCCCACACTATTTATCAATATGTAATAAAAGAATCTGTGTATTGTATCATATTTAAATTTGTGCAATGTGATTTAAAAAAAAATACATACATTTTTTAAAATTATATTTTAACAATTTAATTTATATATATTTAAGTAAATTAATATTTTTTTAATTTAATATTTTTTTTAAAATTTTTTTATATAATTTATCTGTTTTTTATGGTAAATATATTTTTTAAAAATATATCAAATATAATTTATTTATATCTATTTTTTTATTAATTTTGATTTTCTCTCTTTTTCATGCAGTTATCTCTTTTTTTATCTTATAATATAATATATTTTATAACTTTTTGTATTTTGTTTAATTTTTAATTTAAAATTTTATGTTAAATCAAATAAAGTATTTAAATGTTAGTATGCTTTATTGAAAAATATATGATGAAGAAGTAATATATCATTTATTTATAAAAAATTGAAAGATTCTGAAATTATTTTAGAGACACTAATTAAAAATAATCAAAATATTTTTTATTTTTATAATGAAGAAATTATTATAAGACAAATATGAACATTATTCTATAAAATTTATGAAAATAATATATATGAGTAAATTATTTTATGTTGAAATACCATTCGTTAAGATTTAATAAAACTTTAATTATATTTGTCTTATAATGAATTTTATTGAAAAAGTAATAGGAATAAATTTATTGTGAATAAATTAGTATGATATTTTTTAAAGCACCAAAGTTTATAATTAAATATTATTATTGTATTTTTGCATTTGTCTGAATTCAAATCCATAATCTTTTATAGAGTGTAAGAATATGTTTTGACCTTTTAAAAGTTAAAGATTGATTTTGAGAGATACACCTAGAAAAATAAATGATGTGGCACAAAAAAAAGTTGAAGGATTGCAAGATAGTTTAATACACGAGATTTAATAGATATAAATAGATTTGAGAAAGTTCAAAGAGAGATTTCATCAAATACAAGTTTAAGATCCTTTAAGAAGATTTTTAATTAGTTAATTTATCTTTGAAAATCATAAACAAGTCATAAATATTTTTTCATGTTGAAAAATGGAGTGAAGACAGAAAATAAAAACCATATACAAAATAAAATATTTTGAGAAAATAACAGAAGAATAAGGTATATGTATTACTGTGGGTTGGAAAATAGAATGATTGGTAATGAATTTTGTTTTGTCAACATGTCATTTATGTATTTGTTGGGTCACTTAGAACAATAAATGCAATTTATAAGGAGATTGGTTTTACCATTAAAAAAAGATAACGGCACAACTTGTTGTTGGTTTACCTATCTAATTCTATAAATAAACTACAAAATATATTTAATGTTCTTCTAAAACATATGGTTTCTCCAAAAAATCATAAAAAAACATAAAACAATCTAAAAATTTGTTACCTTATTTTCAGCACTTTCAGTGAATGCTCAAACTCAAGTAGTTATTAGGAACATTCCTCCAGATCTTTTGCCAATGTGCAGTAGCTAACATCAAGATAATAAGGTCTAGTGTTCACGGTAATTCATGTTCTGTATCAAACAAAAGAACAGAGAATATATAAGAAGCTTTTTTCTTTTTCCTTTTTGGTTTCTCACTACTCAAGAAAAACAAGGGACAGTAATATAAGTAAGGAATATATTAAAGTTACAAGGTTAGCATTTCTCTCTGATGACACCAGGGATAAACAATTAGATCATAGAAAGATAAGTATATCTCACAATGCCAATAACAAAGAGTTTTGTTTATTAAACAACTGAAAATTAAAATTGTAAAATCTTATGAGTATATCTTGCAATCCATCGTTTATCTAGATCTCGCAAACACTAGATCAATTGTAGTTTTACAAATATAATTATACAATCTAATTTAGTATCTTTGATCTTACCATCATCATCCAATCAAAGCCTTTTAAACACTATTAGAAATACTCAGATTTTCTATGGATTTTCTTATTGTTTTCTGTCCCCAGCTAAATCTCGTCACTAATTTTAAATCTGCATGAACCAAAACCTGCAAGTAAACCCGTAGGAAATATTATTCGTAGGTAAATTCGTACGAATCAAATCCGAAGGTAATTCCGCAGCTAATATATTTTGAAATTAAAAAAAAATGAATTTAATGGATAAATTGTGACTAATTTATAACATGAAATAAAATATAAAAAAAAAGATCAATTCATAACATTAAAGACATATTCATAACTAATACTCAAATTCTTTATTACCAATATTCAAGCCCAACAAAAACAAAGATGATTTAGTCTCCAAGGCCTAAAGTAACTCATTTGAGATTATAAAATAACACAAATGATTCTTTTAACGGAATCACTATCTCCATGTTCAGTGTTATACTCCAAAATTTGTCCTCTCATATTTTCCAAGGTCTTCCCCTATATGGTTGGTCACAAACCCTTGTCTAAAGAAAAGGAAAATTTGTGAGTGATGTTTTTAAGTTTCCTTCGATTGGAATCTCCAAAGTGTCTTTCGATTGGCTTCTCCAAAATGTCTTTCGATTGGCATCTACAAAACGTCTTTCGATTGGAATCTCCAAAATGTCTTTCGATTGGCATCCACATAGCGCTCTTCGATTGGCATCCACATAGCGCCTTTCGATTGGCATGGGCAAAGGTCCTTCGATTGGCCTGTTAACAAGGCATTTTGATTGGCATTTTAACAAGTAGCTTTCGATTGCCATTGTAACAGTGTCCTTCGATCGGCATTTTAACAAGTACCCTTCGATTGATATCTGGACAAAGGTCCTTTGTTGGCATGGTAAAGGGTCTTTCGAATGGCATTTCAGTACAAAATTTCAAGAGAACCATCAAGGCCAAGGGCTGGTCGAAGGGATTCTAATAAGGAAAATTCTGAATAGATTCGAATTGGACTTTGAAGCTGGCAAAGAAGGCAGATTCAAAGGAAATGAATCAAAGCCGTTCAAAGGAGCTGAATCAAGGTCATTCGAAAGAGGCCATCAGCCCATTCGAAAGAGAGCATTCGGAGGCCAGTATGTCCACATTTATGCCAAATTCAAAAATGTACAAGATCCCTTAACTTTGACCAAAGTTACATATTGGTATTCATGGCATTCAAATGGTTGTTACAAACATTACTTCTCTTGTCCCCTCCCTCCTACTCTATAAAAGCAGCATGCTTGCAAGCAAAAGAAATAGGACAAAAAGATTAGAGATACGCTGCCCACAAATCCACTAAAGGTTGTCAAATTTTTCATAAATAATCCAAGCCAAGGCAACCCTTCAACAAAAGTATCCATGCCCAGAAGTCCCAGATCGAAGGTACCCACATCCAAAAAGTGCCCAAATCAAAGGTTCCAACTACTGGTAAGAGAGACTAAAATGTCAAACTTTGTATTTGCATAACACATTCATATTTGTTGTTTCATTCGATTTGTCATTCTAGAAAGAATCAAAGGGTTTGGGTTTGGCACCCAGGTCATGTTTTTCATTTGCTAACACTTGCTGCAGATATAGCCTGAAAAGACCCAGCACGCGCAGGATCGAAGGACATGGGTTTTGATACCAAGGTCCTGCGTTTTATTTCGCTAACATATTTTTGCAGATCCAGCACCCCATATCAAAAGGGACACATCTTTCTTGGATCGAAGCTTCCCATTGTTCTCTTGAATCGAAGAAGGCAGCTCCCTTCTAGATCGAAAGGGCCATAGCCTTCCTGGATCGAAAGCCACAGCCTTCTGGATCAAAGCTGCTTATTGTCCTCCTGAATCGAAGAAGGCAGCTCCCTTCTGGATCGAAGGAGGCGTTTCCTTCCTGGATCGAAGGATATTTATCTCTTCCTGCAATCGAAGGGTTCCCCCCTTTGTATTTTTTTCCATTTCTTTATTGACTTTTTTTTATTTAAATTAACCTTAAATCAAAAATCACAAAAAAGACATTAGGCTAGTATTTTTTCTAATTAAAGTTAATTTTGTAAACAATTAATTAGTTATTTTAACATTTTTTTCCTTAAAATTAAATAGACTTAGGCTTTATTTTCTTTTATACTAAAAACTACAAAAATATTTTCTTTTTTACATTTTCAGACGTGTTTTCAACTTTGCGCGCGTTTATTTAATTTCGTATTTTATCTATTATTGTGTCTGTTTACTGGATATAATAGATAAAAATTAGGATATTTACTGCTTTATCCCCCTTTATCCTTGTATAATGTAAATCCCCTCCCCGAAGCATTGTAATAGCGTAGATTTAAATTCCCGCACTTTAATATTATGCAATATATTAACTGTTAGTAACTAGGTTTGTATGGAAAGACTGAAAACAAACGTTAGCTAACCTAACAAAAAGACAAAAAAATAACTTAATCTCAACACACTTGCACATGAGCACCTCTAAGATACGCCCATTTTGGTTGCCTTTAAAAAACAGTCATGGGGCAGGAACGCTTTAGCAAAGACCCGTAAATCAAAAGATCATAGTCCCTCGATGACTCATACAGTGTTTCCTTTCGGTAAATGATCTTGTCCCTAAAACAGAACTGCTAAAGTGTCTCCATAAATTGCCTTCGTGACTGTAACGTCCATCCAATTGTCCTTCAAAACATCCAATGACAAGGCTACCTACTCACTAATAGTAGGATAGCACTGTCTAAAGGAAAAGAGGAAAAGAATAACCTTTTCGAGTACAAAAGTAGATAGTTGTTAGAAGTTTTCTCAAACTATTTTTTCACTTACACATAAAAACTACTTTTCAAAAGACATTTCAAAACGCTTTGTATATTTTCTCCACTATCCCGAGAAACATTACAAAATTCATCGGACTAAGGCATTTTCAAAACATTTTCAAGCACAAAGGTATTTTAAAAATGAGCAAACCTCTAAGAGCCCGTGGAAAAACACAGATGGAAAGGGTGCTAACACCTTCCCTTTCCATAATCTACCCCCCTTACTCAGAAAACATCTCGAAAAGGTCTTTTTCTGTTCTTTTCACTCTTTCCTTAATTTGGATAAAATAAAAGACAGTGGTGACTCTTGCTTACCGCATATTTGCGAACAAAAAATGCAAAACTAGTATTTAATAATCGGTTCTGCCACAGTATCACAGAACTGGCGACTCTGTTGGGGAAAATAATAAAAGTGGGGTTTACCTTAGAGTTAGTTCATTTTTTAATATGCTTTACATTGTGTGTTTTGTTTGCTTTATCTTTGAGGGTTGCTTGAGTTGTTACTAAAAGATCCTTCACCCAGATTTGGGGCACCTTATTAGGTAAGTAGCAATAAATCATGGAGGTTGTGCGGCATAGACCGATACGGACAAAATGGTGGCGACGTTAGCGCGATACTTTGGATTGTACTAATGTTCTTTGAGTAAGTTAAGGATAACATTAGGCTTCCTCATAGTGTCACTAAGCGCTAACTGACCTTTAGAACCTTTAATTGGCTCATCCTAGCCATTAGGAAGTAGTGAGATAACCGGCTTTGGTTCTGACCGAATTTTGGTTGATACTCGATACTAAACTCATTGAGGTTGGACTTTCAGGATTTTTTGGCTGCAATACTTCGGTGTGGAGCTGAAACAATTTCTGAAGGGAAGGTCAGTGATATTGAGGCTCCTTAGAACCCAGTTACTATTAATATGACAGGTTGAGGAAACTAAATTTCAAGAGGGTACTTACCTACAAACCCCATGCAAGCCTAAACCTAAGGTTGCTTGTGTGATTTGTTTGCTTTCAACTTGAGCTACTTGCAGGGTTTTTATCTAACGACGTGATTTCCTTGCAGGATTTGTTTACAGTCATTATCCAATAAACTGGTTTTCTTGCAAGACATACTTGTCTTCATCACCCTGCATTTTTGCTTGATGCATAGCATGCACATCATAACATCATGCCACAACATTTCCTTAACCATTTCAAGGATCTCAAGGGTTTGTGATGCAGGTTGTGATAAATCAGACGTCTAGAAAGGGGCAAGGGGATTTATTTTCCTCTACCTAATGCCATCAAAAGACCAAAGCGGTAACTTGAGTTAGGGGCTATGACCCACTTGATATGGTGAGCTTGACTCTCGTGGAAAGACACTATACGATACGAAGTTCTTCACTCAAAACTGCAAATTTCAACTTCTGACGTTTTCTTGTTTATCCCATGAGATCCTTGAAAACATTTGCATATCATGCATGTCATTGCATAACAGGTATTCTAGGTACAAGCTTCTTATCCCTTTGCTGTTTATTTCAGCAAGAAGAAATGTCTCTTGAACAAACAATCAAAGACCTTCAAGCTCAAAATGCTCAGTTCCAACAAATGTTCCTGACTCTGACCCAGGGGCAAGAAGACATGAAAGCTATGATCGTCAAAAAGAAGACTAAGAAGGAAAAGAAACCATTTTGTGTTTTGAGCGTGGGAAGAAGAAGACCAGCTAACCGAGCTCTAGACTTTGCAACCCCATCAAAGAGAGGGGATAATCAAGAGGAAGATGATGAGGAATCAGAGGAATAAGACAACAATCCAGCGTCTGAAGAAGATGAACCTGACTACTATAAGGAGCAATATCCTCTTGCTGACGATAAATACAAACGAATAGAGGATTGGCTCAATGCCATAGAGATTCAAAGGATGCCCGGTCTGGATTTCGAAGAATTAGGTTTGGTTCCAGGGGTGGTCATCCCACCTAAGTTCAAGGTCCCCATCTTCGCAAAATATGACGGTTTTTCCTATCCCAAGCTTCATTTGAGGTCATATGTCAGAAAGATACAGCCTCACACTACTGATCGGAAGTTATGGGTCCATTTCATCCAAGAAAGTTTAGCTGGAACTCAACTCGATTAGTTATATCAACTAGAAGGAACTGACATCCATACCTGGGAAGACTTGGCTGCTGCTTTATACAAGCAGTACTAATACAACACTGACCTGGCAC